GTTGAGGAAGAGGGGATCCCAGAAGGGAAGTTTCGGCCGGTCGATGGGAGCACTGCAGCCCCATCCAGTGGGAGTTAATAGTCTTCTGTCTCCTTCCTGCCTGTGGGAGGGTTCACCCCGAAGCGACTAAAGGATCTGATCGCAGGGCTGGGCCTGGCTGGAGAGGGTCCTGGCGGGACTGACCGGAGCTGAGGGGCGGAGGGCGAGAGCCCAAGACTCCAGCAGCTGCAGCCCGGGGTGCTGGTGGGTCCCACAACGTCTGGCAGCGGTGTTGGGGCTTTTGGTCCTTTTCAGAACTGCTGTGGGAAGTCGCTGACGGTGGTTTTGTCTTGGGTCAGAGAGATTGGGTGCTCTGTGAGGACGGGAAGATGGCGACAGGTTCCCTGAGGGCATTTACATTCGGGAAGGGCGGGTCGCCAGGTCGCCTTCCCCTCTGAGGGGTGTGGGTGTAGAAGGTGCTCGGGGACGTTCCAGGGGCCTGCCACAGCTGCCAGCAATTCCGACCCCACAGCCTTGCTCAGTCCCCAAACCAGACGTCGGGTGAGGATCTGGACCAGGGCCTCTTCCCAGCGCCCCCAGCAATGCTGTTTGGAGGACCGGCGGGGAACAGGACAGCCTCCTGGGTCCTCGGGCTGCCGGGTAGGGGAACCATCCCCATCTGACATCTCGAACGACGACTGTGAACAGTCCTGATGGGAAGGAAGGAGGGACAGAGGGACTGAACCTCACCGTGCACTTCTGCCTCCTTTTCAGCAATCCAATTAACTCCATCGTCAAATGTCCTTTTCCTGTCTATTTTCAGTTTCACCACCAGTCCAGAAAAAGTGAAAGAAAAAAAAGGTCAGTGGGTCTTTATGTCTTTGTTCAAGGGATTGCACCTCAAGAAGGAGAAGTGAAGTGAGAGGCTGCCCGCGGAGGAGGTGGGGGTTGGGCAGGAGCTCCCTGAGCGGCCGGCGTCCCCAGTGCGGGGCTCACCAGAGCCAAGTGTTTCCTGCCGGCTTGTTACCTGTTGAGTCTTCATGAGGATCTTTATGATTCCCTTACAAGAAAAGAAGTACATGTGAAAAACCCACAGAATCCCAGTTTTCGGTACTAGATGGGGTCTTAGAGAGTGTCTCCTTTCCCATTTTCTAGTGAGACGCTGTCAGAAGGGTGAGACTTGCACTAGGGGGTTTGAGACAGATCCAGGGCACACCCTCTGTGCAGAATTCTGCACGGTTGCCCGAGAGGGTGCTTGAGACACGGGCATCCTGTCCTCAGTGGTAGAGTCTAGGCTTTGAACACTAACTCTGCTGTGGACGGAGCTTCTTAGCGTCTCTGCACTTTAGGTCCCTTGAAATGGGGTTGGTAATTATGACCTCCCGGGGCTGCGCTGACACAGAGCTGGGCTTTGATAATTCTTGGTGTTCCCTGACCAGATACGGGCGCCGTTGCCGCTCACTCCCCATCTGGTGATGCGTTTTGTTTCTCTCTGACCTCAGGTTTGGAGAGGTGGGCACCGGCCAGGGGCTGAGGCAGGGCGGACAGAAGGCAGATGTCTGCGGAGCCCTGGTAACCAGTCCCTAAGCCCTGAAGCCCGGGCTTTGAGGGACCAGAGGTGTGACTGCAGAACAAAACCAGGAAGAGCAGGTACATGCGTCCCGGGAAGCCATGCCAAACCTCAGGGAGGCCTCTGCACATCCTCTCTGTCTGCACAGTGACCGGGACACACAGAGCCCCAGGAAGGGGTCCAGTAAGTCCTGGGGGCCAGGCCAGGAGTGGACAAAGCTGGAAGCAGACACCGTGGAAGAGAAGCTGCTCCTGCAGGTGGATGAGGCAGCCCGGCGGGAAGCCGTGGAGAGAGAGTGCTGGTGGGGGGCGTGGCTGGAGGTGAGCAGAGCCAGAGGGAGGGCGGGACACTCCCAGACCGGAGCTGTTTCATCTGTCCCCCGTCCGTGGTCAGATGGGGTTTCAGACGGTTCCAAGCTGAACAACCCCCCAGACCAGGGGCTGCCAGGCCTTTCTCAGCCCCCGCCTCCACCCCGCCCTGCGGCCCTCCATGGAGCGCCAGCCCTTCTTATGTTGTTCAGTGCACACCAGCTCCCCCCCACCCCCATCTTCCTTTCCTTTCTGGGGATTAACATTGCTGGCTCTGTGCCTGTCCGTTCCTATTTCTCCCCTCCGTCCATGGTTTTATTTTTCTCTCGGGTTTCTAAACCTTGGATGACTCCCTGAGTCTCTCCTACTCTTCCAGAAGCCAGTCACCTTTGACGATGTGGCCGTGAATTTCACGCAGGAAGAGTGGGTGTGTCTGGACGCCAGTCAGAGGGTCCTGTACCAGGATGTCATGTCTGAGACATTCAGAAACCTGATGTCTGTGGGTAAGAGGCAAGGGTTCCCTCAGCCCGCCCCCTGCCCCAGGACCCCGCCCAGGACCCTGGGACACCTGGCTTCCCTGAGTAGGTAGATCAGCTCACAGCTCACTTCACTGACCCTGCACCTTCTATACCTTCCAGGTGTGAAAGATCTAGGTCACTAAGCTCAGGGTGAAAGGACAAGAAATGAAAGCCTGCATGAAGGCAAAGATAATACTTGGAACATGTTAATTTGAAAATGTACCCATTCAAATGTACCAGTATTTACGGAATTGCTCCTATTATGTGCCAGGAACTTCGTTAGGAGGGTCTCCTCCCTGCACCTAAGTGTCCCAGATTAAGTTCTTAGGCCAAGGATACAGAAGAAGGTAGCCTGTTGTCCTCCCTGGGTATGAAGGGGCCAAGCCTGGGACCTCAACTCTCTCTTTCCTTCCCACCCCCAGTCAGAATCTTTCTGTCTAACCCAGATCTGATCATCGAGCTTGAACAAGAGGAAAAACAGTGGAGAGCAGAGCTCCAGCTCCGTCCCCCAAATGGAGAAGGCCTCCCTTCAGGTAAGCATGGCAGAGGAGGGGGGCAGGCAGGGGCCCAGGCCATGCCCTGGGAGGGTGGAAGCCTGCCTCCGAGCACCAGGGCTGGGCACGTCCTATCCCAGCCTGCATCCTTCTCACCTGGCTCCACTTGGAGCCGCGAGAGGGCTTGAGACCATGTGCTTGCATCCCTTGGCTCCAGAGGAATATCTGTTTAGGACAAGCAAATATCTGCAGTTTCAGGGATTGGAGTACATATAGGTTGCCTACATCCCTCCCAGGGGAACAGGAGAGGAAGGGATAGGAGCTTCTGCTGAGCCCAAGTAGAGACTCATGTCTGAGATAGAACAGGAAGGAGAGAGATTTCAGGCCGGGCTGACCACGGCTGCTGGCGTGCACTTCCCATTCTAGCTGGATGATTAACGGCGCCGCCTTTCACTCAGGGTCCCCACTTAGGAGGTCACCGGCAGGTGTCGTGGGAGCGTGAGATACTGAAAATGAGAAGAAATGGAGTTCGAGAAATGTGGGTATAGGCTAAAGTTCTGACCTCCGCTCTTGTTGAAAGACTCCACTTTAAGTGTTGATTCACTTTTAATTTGGAAACCCAGAGGTCCATTCTGCCTGTAGCCTGTGAGGTTCAAGAGTGAGAGAGAGCATGTCCGACGGGCACGTGAGGGAGCCAGGGGGGCCGGGGCCTGAAGGGGAGCTGGTGCTGGGTTCTCGCGGGGAGTCCTGTGTCCCTCCTCCTCCTCCCCTGCAGGCGGCAGGAAGAAGGCACTTCAGGAGGAGGCTCGGAGGCTGCGAGACCACAAGGGGCCCCTTGCCTGTGGAGGGGCAGGCCCAGCCTCTGCTGCCGTGGGGTCCGCGCACAGGGCCCCCGCGCTGCCCGCATCCCAGGCCGGGCCGCCCTTCCTGTGCTGCCTGTGTGGCCGGAGTTTCAGCAAGCGCTCCAACCTGCACAGTCACCAGTTTGTACACAGTCCCCACACAGTGAACAGCTGCGGCCAGTGTGGGAAGTGCTTCCGAAACCCCAGGGACCTCAACTACCACAGGCGCACGCATCTCGGGGAGAGGCCCTTCTGCTGCCCGCTCTGTGACAAGACCTACTGTGACGCGTCGGGGCTGAGCCGTCACCGCCGTGTCCACCTGGGTTACCGGCCCCATTCCTGCCCCTGCTGTGGGAAGGGCTTCCGGGACCGGTCCGAGCTCAAACGCCACGAGAAGACACACCAAAACCAGGAGCCGGTGGCCAGAGACCAGAAGCACATTGGGAGGATTCCGGGCACTGGCTCTCAGGAGTGCACTGATGGGAGCCAGCGGTCCGGCCAGGAGCTTGTGGCTGTGACCCACGCCCTGGTGGCCAAGACCCAAGAGCCCACCACTGGAACCAAGGGTCCTGTGGCTGAGGGCCAGCCACCTATCGACACGAAGCAGGTGATCACTGTGAGACGGTGGGCATCAGCCAGTGCAGCCCCGGGGCCTGGGACCAGGACGCAGACACCCAGCACGAGAGCCCCCGCCCTGGACACCAGCCCCCACTGTCCCCCAGCAAAGCCCTCAAGACTCAAGGTCTTCTCTTGCCCCCATTGTCCTTTGACTTTCAGCAAGAAAGCCTGTCTCTCTCGCCATCAGAAGGCCCACCTCTTGGAGCAGCCCAGCGCCTGCTTCCGCTGTGGCAAGTCCTTTAGTTCATTGTCGGGGCTGGCCAGACACCAGCAGATGCACTGGAGGCAGAAGATCTACCGTTGCCCCGTGTGTGATGTCTGCTTCGGGGACAAGGATGGCCTCGTGGGTCACTGGGGGGGCTCCAAAAGCAAGGACCTGTGTCTGGGCAACCTTCAGGCATGCTGGGCCATCCTGGGCCAATGGCTCGGCTTCTTTCACCATGCCCCCCCTCTGTCAGGGAAGGACATGGATCTGCCCCAGGATTCAGGCTCCCAGGAGAGGGCAGGGAGGGCGGGGAGAAGGCACCGGAGGGGGGAGAGCCAATGAGGCCACAGTACATGAAGAAGTGGCCTTTCTGACTGAGGTCTTCTGTTGGTTGCTTTTCCTACAGTCTGGCCTGCAGGCTCGGGGGGCACCGGATGGACAGGCAAGAGAAGTGGCACACGGAAACTCGTATTGTTATTAATTAGCACCTGCCTTGTTTCTTTGTGTCTGGTAGACCATCAAGTAGTAGTTGTTGAAGAAATCAGTGCTCTGATAGGGGATAACACGGGAGAGGAAGTACGAGAGGAGGGAAGGGGCCTGGGGGACCCATCCGTGCAGGGGGTGGAGGTCGAGGCCGGTGTGACGCCCGCCCCGCTGCCCTCGCCGCTCCGCAGGGCCAGATGGCGCTCCAGCCCGTGGCCTCAGCTGCAGCTCACTCAGCACCAAGGCTTCGCACTCCCCCTGCTCCTTCCCGTCAACGCTCCCCGCCTCTCCGCTCTGCCCCCCAGGACGGAACGGATTCGCAGCAGGGAGGCTGCCGGTCTCAGTCCTGCCAGTCACTCTCCAGCACAGGAGCTGTCAGAGAGGGGACACCTGCCTGGCCACAGCCAGAGGCGGCTTCCAGATGGAGCGAGGAGAGAGGACAGATGTGGGTAGCCAAACGGGGAAGAGGGAGGGTGGATGACAGAAGGAGGGAGGGTGGATGACAGAAGAGGACTCAGTCCCATTTGGGATTCAGAGCATTCCTGGAAATGCAGGTTGGACGTCCTGGTGGTGAGGAGGCCAGTGAGGGGGACGCCCCACCCTGAGGGTCAGTGCTTGGACCAGCCAGGCTGTCCTCCATCCTTGCCAAGATGCAGCATCACTCAGAAGGGGTTTCCTAGAAGGAGGAGAAAATCACCTGAAAAATCTGTCAGTGCCAAGCCATTAGTCCACGGAGAGGAAAGCCCCCCGGGGGTCCCCTTGCCTCTGCTGCACCTGCCTCAGCGGCTGGTGTTGGAGGTGAGGCCCAGGGCAGCTGCCGGAGCATTGGGAAGGGACACCAGCAGAGCACGTTGGAGTGCCCTGCGCCTCCTGAGCCAGGCTCTCTCCAGCTGGAGAGCCGCCCCCTCCTCCCCCACCCCCCGCCCCTGCCCCCCAGGGCTTCTGGTCCCTCCCCTGCCCCCCTCTCCCTGCCTTCCTAGGGAGAAGAGAACTTACTTAGCTCTTCAAGAAATTGCCCTGGAAAGAAGAAAGCAAGCCGTGACTGGTGGAAGATGACTGGTCCCCTCCCCACGCACCCCCCCCTTCCCAGCCCCAGGGCGGCCCCAGCCCCAGGGGGCTCAGCCAGCGGTTCCCCTCCTGGATTCTCCTCCGAGGACCCGGAGTTGGCCTTGGGGGCGGAAGAGGAAGGCCGACTGGGTGCTCTGGATCTCGGCCCCCCCACCGACGGGCCCTGCCTGCCGCCCCCACTGCACCTGCGAGCCTTCCATGCAGCCACTCATAGCAGATGACCAAGGCAAGCAGGGGTCCGAGCACCGGAACCAGCACAAACAGGGTTATCTTCCAGCAGGGCACCCTCAGGAAGTGGGGGTCTGAGCCGTGGCCACAGAGCAGAGAGGATTAGCCGGGGTCCCCCACCCCTCCCGCCCTTCTCCGTGTCCTGCGGTCCAAGAACACCAGGCTCTGCAGAGTTCAGGGAGCTGGTGAACTCAGATGAGAAAGGCCCTGCATCCTTATTTTCACCAACCTTTAACTGAATTTAGCATTTCTTCCATTAAAAATGGAGGCCACAAACCAGTCGTCAGCAGTGCCTGTGACTTTATCACCAAAGAAACCACAGATACTTTCATTCCCACTGGAGTTATTGCTGAAATCTCGAAATGCTTGTCAATAGTTTGACAAAGTTATTGCACCTGCTGCTACATTGTTAGTGTGTTTTTGTTATTTAAAGAAACAGCTGTTACTATATTACGAATGGGTTTATATTTTGATACCTGTATTTCAATTCAATGGTTTTCTCTGCAATCGTACCTGTTACGTTTTCTGTGACTGTTTAAAAACCTTATTCTGGGAAAGGGTCCATTAGGCTTCACCAGAATGCCAAGGAGACTCATGGTACAGAAAGAGGTAAGACCTTTGCTACTTGAATCCTACAAAACAAAGATCGTGTTCCTCCCTTCTTGGGTTGCAGAGACTGTGTGTGCGTGGTCTGCATGCTGATGTGATGTCCTAAACACTCGGATGGAGTGCTCCTCGTTCGGGGAAGGCTACTCAGAGCAGGGACCATCTGTGCTCTGCCTTAAGGCATCTTATACTTTCTGCAACATCCATCCAACAAGGATGTGGGTGCCCCTCTGTTGCAGGCACGGTCCTTAGGCCCTGGGGAATCTGCAGTGAGCAAAAACGACAGGGACTGTCGTCTTGAAGGGCCAACATTGTAAAGGGGCTTGGTGTGTCCTCCAGGAAGCCTTCCCTAATCAATCCTGTAGAGTCACTTGTTCTGTGCTCCTGATGCGTAAGTACTTGGTTCTCCAGCCAATTCATTTCACGTCCCCAACTAGACACCAGGCATGCATGGGGTGTTCTGTGTACCTCCCCTCCGTTAACGTCTGCGCAGAGAAACCTTGCACTTGATACAGCAGGAGTTAGCCCTCGGGGCTGCTGGTGCAGTGCCCGGCACGGAGGAGTGGCACAGGGTGCTTGCCATCATCATCTCACCCGTGACTTCTTCAAGGGAAAGGAAGAGGCAGGAGGCCAGCCCCGAGCAAGGGTTCTATTTCCCTGGTGACCGGGTCCCACTGACACCACGCTGACCAGGGAGGACCAGGTCCTGGCACTTACCAAACGTCCGGTGCAGGTTCTCTGAAAGGGAACACACAGGAAGGGACTCAGTGGGGCACTCGGAGGGTTTCCCTTCCCCTCGGAGCCTCTGTGATTGAATCACTTAAAAAACTTTCTAGTGAGTGACCCCGCGGAGGAAAGGGAACTGCTGAACTCTACCCCGGCTGGTGGCAGAGGAAGGAGTCTCGCTACAATCCATGCGTGGTTGCCGGGGTCTGAAATACTAGTGAGGTCCTGTCTGAAGCAAGCACAGGGTATGGGGACAGAGGCAGAGATGGTCAGAGAAAATGACCACGGCACTGATGCCAAAGGACCAGAGGGAGGGTGACGAAAACTCACCTATCTCTGCTCGAAGTTTTCCTAAAACAGAAAAAGGCAACACTGTTAGTTCCAGCCCCGGCATGAGACGGGGCCCCTCCCACACCCGGCGCCGGGGCCTCTGTGCAGGCGGCTTCTCTGCAGCCCAGGACTGCCCGCAGGGGGTGGATGGGAGAGCCCGGGTTTGGAGCTCTCTCCCTGGCTGCTGTCAGCATGAAACACGAGTCCAGTGGGGGGACAGCAATGGCCCAAAGCAGCCTCAGGTGTCCTCACCTCCCACGCCGGCTCTTCGCCTTGGGCTCTCAGGTTTGCATCGTCGACCCCCCCCGCCCCCCGCTGGGCTGTCACTTGGTAAATCTAAAGCCACTAACGTCCAAATGTGGAAGGAGACAGGCTCCCAAGTAGACGCTGCATCACAATATCCCTTCCCAGACAGGAGGGAGGCAGGTCCCCCCGCAAGACAAGGTCCATCAGCCCTGCGCTGGATTCAAACCCGGGCGGCCAGACACCATCACAGGTCCCTTCTGCTCAGCCGTGGGAACTGACAGCCTTTCTCACGTGGGGGGAGAAGGGCACCGAGTACCCGGGATGAGTTCAAGGGGAGAGAGAGGACCCACCCTTACGCCCTCGCACACCCCAGCCCTCCCTGCAGCTTTATGCTCTCACGACCCGGCGGGGGGAGAAGAATCCCAGGGCCCGTGAGCTTTGGCTCAGGGAGAAGGCGCAGGGTGGACGCTCTGGGCACAGAAGAGGAGCTTCACTGATAGCTGAGGCCGGGTCCTCCGTGTTGAGCGGAAAACAAGGAGGAAACAAGTTTCGAACGCTGACGATGCGGTGGGGACTTTTGCTCAGGGTCGTTATTTAAACCTCCAGTAGGCGTCGACCTGTCCGACTCGGAGGCTCACGTTCCCTTGGCATGAAGCTGCCAGGTGTGGTCCAGAGACCGCGGGGGGCAGGACCGCGCCCTGCCAAGAACAGGTGTGTCGCCCACCTAACTACTGAACCACCCCAGGCCTCGGGCGCCTCCTCTGTAAAATGGGGCTGTTGGAGGTCGGCCCTACCTCACAGGGAAATGCAAGCACCCGTTACAGAAATGAAAGCATTCGGTGAGACGTCAGATTGTCATTCTGCAGTTTTGAACCCAGAAGTCACTCAAAACTAAACATTAGGCAACAAGCTCCAAGAGGCCAGGGTACTTCAGGGAAGGGGCCCAGCAGTCTGTACCTCTCAGTCTGTGCTGCAGGCAGAGGTAGACGAGGCCCACGGTGATCTGCAGGAGCAGCACGGGGAGGACCGCGATGAGAACCAGCACTCCGGGGCTGATCCAGTAGAAGGGGTCTGAAAGGCAGAGTGGTGCTGCAGCTCCAGGCCCCGCACGGAGCCTGGGGCTGCACCGATTGGAAGAGAGGACACAGAGCTTGAAGGAAAAGTGGGCCTGTTTCCGGGAAGGGCTCCTGGTTTTCCAGGTTCCATACGAGGCCTGTCTCACAGAGCTTGGGAACCAGCCAAGAGACTTAGATCTGGTGCTCACGGGGCGTGGGGAAGGGCTCCACGGGGAGGATGACAAGACTGGACGAGGGAGGCCAGTGCGGAGCCCACAGTCACGAGGAGAGTACCACACGGCCCGAGCCTGAACGAGGACGGGATGGGGTTAGGGAGGCAGGATCTGTGGAGTTAGAGGGGAAAACCATGCAGTTATTTTTAGTAATCTTTGAACTGAAATTTAGCATTTCTTTTCATTAGCATGTCTGTGGGCAACGCACCACAATACCATGAACAGAACAGTGACTTTGTCATCAGTAAAACCACAGATATCTTCGTATCGCGTTAGAGTTGTCAGAAAAACCTCAAAATATCACTTACGTTTGTCACTAAGTATCAGGGCCACTCCATATCTTGTTGTCGCAACATTTTGATAGCTGTGTTTCAGTACAAATGTGTTTTATTTAATGCATTTAAAACATCCATCTGGGAAGGGTAAAAAAAAAGGACGGGGGAGGCCTGGCTGGCTCCGTCAGTAGAGCATGCGACTCTTGATCTTGGGGTTGTGAGTTCGAGCCCCACACTGGGCACAGAATTTACTTAAAAAAAGAGAGAGAGCAGAGGGGTCCGTCGACTTCACCAGTCCAGTTAAGAACCCCTCTTGTGGAGGTTCTGAGACAGTGGGATACGTAGGGTTTGATGACTGAGGGGATGTGGAGTGGGACCACTGATGGGGGGTGGCCTTCGGCTCTGGCTCCCACCTAGAACTTGCCATTCTAGAATCTTGTTCGTCAGCGCCCAAGAGCTCTTCCTGACTAACCTCAGTGAGCCCGGCTGGGCTCAGCCCTTGTTCTCTCCTTTCGGGGGTTAGAGAAAGACACGGCCATCAAGGGCAGGGACTAACGGACAGCAAGCAACTGGTCTGGGACGGTTTATTAGGTATAAACAAAAATCCTTCAAGCTGCAGATTAAGGCTCCTGTCTATTATGTTCCCCAGAATAAAATGTAGCCAATTCTACTTTCCAAGTTCTTATCAGAAGTTCCCTGCAGTTGGGATGCCTGGGGGGCTCAGTCGGTGAAGCGTCTGCCTTCCGCTCAGGTCATGATCCCAGGGCCCGAGGACTGAGTCCCGCGTCGGGCTCCCTGCTCAGTAGGGAGCTTGCTTCTCCCTCTGCCTGTGCGCTCTCTCTCTGACAAATAAATAAATAAAATCTTAAAAAAAAAAAAAGTTCCCTGCAGCAATGTGATTTAGCAGGTATAGACTTCCATTCTTTGCACATTTTTATACCTTCACAAAGTACTAGGATCATAAAAAACAGAAAAGAAGGAGCCATTAGGGGCCTTCTGATGGAAAGGAGTATACAGCATCACCTATGAATGCTTGGAAAAATAAATTAAACCTGAATCTGATTGTATACTTCTTTCTCCGTTTACAAGAAATACAAGTATGGGGCACCGTGCTGAACAGAATGGGAATGAAATCAGCAAACGCTAGGCCATGGGAAACTCCACCGGGCAAACACCAAGGTGTGGATCTTGTGTAGATTAGACTCAGACCAAACAACTGTAAAAATATATTCGTGAAACAATCAGGGGAATTTGAACACAGAGTGGATATTGAGGACCTTAAGGCATTTTTGTTAATTCTAGAAAAGATAGGATAACAGTATTGTGGTTATGTTTGGTTTTTTTTAATTTTTAATTTTATTTTATTTTTATTTTTTTTAAAGATTTTATTTATTTATTTGAGACAG